TCCCATATGTTTACAAATGAAATACAGTTTATCAATCGATTTTACTGTTACATGGTGGATGTTACCAGCTCAGTCCGAGTTCTTGCCGCGAATTGCCTGCAATTTGGTGAGGTAAGGGGACCACACAGCGCCAATAGCATCCAAGGATTGTTGGATATCTTCATGGCCGATGAAGAAAGTAGATGCAGATAAACCATAACTCACAATATAAATGCACATTCTATCAACAATGGTAGATCTCGTCTGGATATTAATACACACGATCAACTGCAAAACAAACTAACAATCAAGAAATATTAGCAACCTACGACATTCAAACTGATGCGGTCCTACTCCTAACAATAACGACCGACAGATAATCAAATTAGACCAAGTCCGTAGACATGCACCGTGTGAAAACTACTTACAGTTAATATGGTTCACACGGTCCGTGAAACAAAGTCGGTACATAAACCATATAGGTACACTATGCCTCGGCCTACAGGCGTATCGTACTAATACATAGCTATAAAGTCATAATTGTCGATCTACACTCATGTATATAAACCCTATAAATTTCGGAACTAAACCCGTCGGTTTGCGTGTCTGTCAGCAAACGCGCCTGTGGCGCAAGTCATGTGACCCGTGCACACCCTAAAGGCACGGACGCGTTGAACTTGCGACTTGGGCTCGATAATGATACCACTGCAGTAAAAAGAAAAGAAAAAGAAAAAATAACAAGGGGTAGGCCATGTGGCCGCTCCAAATATGGTTGCATGTGGCTGAAAGCATGCTTCTTCCCTAGCGAGCGGGTTATACATTGTACAACCTCTCGCTGCTCCCGTATGTTGCACTAGATGTATCCTAGGGTGCTGATCCTTCAATTTTTGAGGTGTAGTTCATTTTTTCTTCCCGGTCTTCGACCGGGTATCTAAGTAAATATGTGTCCGGCGGGTTCACGATACTAGCACCCGCGGGTCTCAAGTAGCTACAAGTAAACAATACCTATTGGCATTCTGGTGACAGTAGTACTACCGGGGATTTTGTAATCGTTCACGCTCAAGTTGAAGTCGTCTATGGTCCGCCTGCGCGAGACGCTGAGTGAGCGGTTCCCACGATTAGAACCCCGCACAATATCGAGGGTGGCTGCGACCGGGACTATGGGTGCACAATGCCCCATGAGATGGCGCTTGCTTTGTGGTTAGTATATCCTATATGTACAACATGCTAGAGTACTCAAACAAAATCTTTGGATTTTATTGTGCAGGAAATCCCGATATACAAGTCACTCATGATATTGAGCTGAGTTTGAACCGTGCTAATGGTTCGGCAACTCCCGCCTCACGCTCGCAATACCATGGCTGATACGCCCGCGCCGACACAAGTTCAGGAAATTTACATTGTATAACTGCTACTATAATATTAATCCTAGAAGCTCCGTAACGACTTAGACGAGATATCCCTGCCCCAGAGTTCCCCAAGCATCTGTCGCGAGCCACGCGAACTTGCCTCTTATAGATTTGAAACTCCGCTCAATATCAATATCATGCCTGGGAGTGAGTAACGCCCCGCGACTTGAACTGCAACACCCTTCACACAATTCGAAACTTCGCTCTCCTGCTTCACCTGTAAGTTTTGGTTCCTCCATCTGGATAGCCAGACGCCTCGGACAAAGCATACCTCTAGAAATGTCTGTCCCCATTTCGAACTCAATGCATAATACCGACCGCCGATCTTCCAAGGATAGGAAGCATTACCTGGGTGTACTTGGTCTCGATGAAGCAGAAGAAGCCGTTTTTAAAGTACGTTCCTATAAAGTACTTTCTGTTAGTATCATGTTGTTGATTCATCCGACAGGAGAAGATCCTCGCCTTGGCCAAAGTTTACTTGGACATGCATAAGCCGGTCAGTCAGCAGATAGAGGATTGGGAGCTGTATATACAGCAAGTACGTGGTATAATCTATATAACATGTCTCTATTCTAACTGCATGGTCGAAAGGTATGCACACACTTTGGGGATGATTTGGGAGAGCATAAGACCGGCCAACCCGTTCGCCGATATGTCGCGCGGCTCCTTTCTC